AAAAAAAAAAAAAAAAAAAAAAAAAAAAAAAAAAACAACAACAACCAAAAAACAGAAAACCAGGCGCCACACTCCGAAGCCTTTCTTATTTGTCTGCATGGGCGATGCATGCATGCTGGGCCAGGAAACGAGTTTGGAGACGATTTAAGTGAAAAGTCTGCTTCCTCAGCTGATGGTGCATGAGGGTGATTTGGTTCCGGCTCATAATAAAACAAAACAAAAAAACAAAAATGAAAAAACTTTAGAACCGCATTGTCTGCTTTTCAGCATTTCTCGGAGTATTTGCTGGCTTATTGATAGAAAATCCAGCTGTGGGTGAGAGAGCAGCAAGCATGTGCTGCCTTGTGCTTTAAGCCTGTAGTAAGAGGCTAGAAGAAATAAAATCAAGGCTGTGAAAAGAAGTGTCATGGTATATTTGCTTTTTGATTGTCACTTTCTCATTTGTTCCCGTCATAGACAACTTCACACTTCATAATTAATATCCACTATTTGGAATCCTCCAAATAATGGCTATAACTGAACTTAAGGTGAAACTTACTGGCATTCAGGAACTTTTTCCTGCTTGTTTCTAAGAGTGCGCTGGTGTTGCTTTGGAGGATGCTGTAGCTAGGAATATTGGACCACAAAGAGTGAAATAATAAGCCTCATTAGGCATGGTTAGGAGTGTATATATTACATACTTTTGAGTGTACTTAGAAAAAGTTTTACCTGATGATGGAGAATCCCAAGTGAAATTGATTTTGTGGACATTTTGATGATTTCTTTAAGGTATATGAATTGCTGTATATATTTAAGGTCTTTCACAAAAAGCAATGAAAACTCGGGCTGATGTATTGATTTCAGATATTACTTATGTTTGTGTGTGTGTGCCAGAGAGACAGAGAGGTTTTTGTATTTGAGACATTTTTATTGTCAGATCAATGAGAATGATAACTTCGTCATGACTTTTGACTTCTCATTTCAATAAGTAATTCTGTTTGACCTGTGGCTAACCCACTTAGAAAGTAAAGCATGTATTACTTGAGTAAAATAAATTCAAAGAAGTACATGAATTCAGAACTTCGTTCTTTTCTATTGCAGATGAGCCTCTAGTCTTGCTTTGAAAAAGCTACTTTGTATAACTCTTGACTGAATAATTTCCTCACACACCTGTTGGGCGGAACACTGACAGAGTATGCCACTTGAAAGGGCCTTCTGGTGACCAGATACTGGTGATTAGAAAAGAGAGGTGTTTTTATTTTTATTTTTGTTTTTTGTTTCCTGAGCATTATGAACATTGACTTTTCACTCTTGAAGTAAAAATGTTGAAAGCCGAGTCTTCAGGTGAACGGAGCACTCTCAGAAGTGCCTCTCCCCACAGGAATGCATATAGAACTGAGTTCCAGGCACTGAAAAGTACTTTTGACAAACCCAAGTCAGATGGGGACCAAAAAGCAAAAGAAGGTGAGGGCTCCCAACAGAGCAGAGGCAGGAAATATGGCTCCAATGTCAACAGAATTAAAAATCTGTTTATGCAGATGGGTATGGAACCCAATGAGAATGCTGCAGTCGTTGCCAAAACGAGGGGGAAAGGTGGCTCTTCATCCCCTCAGAGAAGGATGAAACCTAAAGAATTTCTGGAGAAAACAGATGGCTCTGTTGTTAAGTTGGAGTCCTCTGTCTCTGAACGAATCAGTAGATTTGACACAATGTGTGATGGCCCCTCGTATTCCAAGTTCACGGAGACACGAAAGATGTTTGAGAGAAGTGTGCATGAGTCAGGACAGAACCAGCGATATTCCCCCAAGAAAGAAAAGGGTGGAGGGAGCGAACCACAGGATGAGTGGGGCGGGTCCAAATCCAATCGAGGCAGCACTGATTCTTTGGACAGCCTTAGCTCCCGCACTGATGCTGTCTCCCCAACTGTGAGTCAACTGAGTGCAGTATTTGAGAACACTGAGTTCCCTAGTGCCATCGTTTTGGAGAAGGCAGAAAGCAGTGAATATTCTGTGACTGGGCATTATCCCCTGAATTTGCCATCTGTTACTGTTACAAATCTCGATACCTTTGGCCACCTTAAGGATTCTGATTCTTGGTCTCCTTCGAACACCCAAGAAGTTGATACTGAGGATGCTCAGAAGAGTAATACAACTCCAATAGCAGAAGTGACTCCTAAGAGTACACCTCCAGCGTCGTTGCCTAGCGAGGAGACACAGCAAAGCAAGGAAGCCGAGAACTCCACATCTAACCAAGAGACTCGGAGCAGAATTGACAAAGACAGTCCCGAAGAACCTTGTGCTGACAGTAAGGCAATGCCGAGGTCTGCGATCCTTTCACCACAAAATGAACCTTCAGGAGGTGCTGGAGCTTATTTGGTTGGGACCGAGGCAGCAAAACAACAGAGGAAAGAGCTTGCAACTGGTGGTCTCACCTCTCCTGATGCTTCTACATCCAGCTACGGAAGAGAAGTACCTGAAGACCCCAGTAATTTTGAGAGCTCCCATGTATACATGCACAGTGACTATAATGTGTACAGGGTAAGATCCAGGTATAATTCAGACTGGGGAGAGACAGGCACTGAGCAGGATGAGGAGGAAGATAGTGACGAGAACAGTTACTATCAGCCCGATATGGAGTACTCAGAAATTGTCGGATTGCCAGAAGAAGATGAAATCCCTGCAAATCGGAAAATTAAGTTTAGTAGTGCTCCAATTAAGGTAAGTATGCTGCCTTAAATTGTTTGCTAAGTTTGTTTTAGTTTTGGGGCCTAACTCTGTGGAAGAGGTTTGACAAATAATGAAAGTTTCTGTAAAGGAATTTTAAGATTGTTGGTGTGCACCTGTTAGATGATTTTAAAAGTTTGGAGTTTGAGAGATCTCAATCATATTTCTTAATGTGCTTTATGATGATAGAAACTAATAGTGAGCGATATGAAAGTTGAGGAAGTTTGGAGATTGTGAAATGCATTCCACTGGACTGGAGTATGAATAAAATGAGCACTGAAAACCAGGAGTGTTTGTTTGAAATAAAACTATAACAAGTGTTACTTAACATTACCTATAAAAACTTTCTGAATCTATAAACTGTAAGATCTGAGGTATAAGGTACATCAGGTGAATTATGGAAACCTTGAAATAATCGTCTTTATTTACTTGCTTAAAAAATCTCAGTTATTCCTTACTTAGGTGTAAGTGGATTGTGAGGAATGTTGTTGGAACTTTTTTTCTTGATTGCTACTGAGTAGTGAAAATTTGATTTATGGAAATACATTAGCTGACTTAAATACTGTGATTGAAAAGCTCCAACTGTAAACAGCTTTGAATTCAGAATTTGTTATGTAGCTTTAAAATGCGATTTTGTGAAAGGAAGTAAAACTGATTTGCCATTCATGGATTTATATTACTTCTTAAAAACTGGATAAATGCCAGTTGAATTCAGATGCTCTATTCTAATGACTTCACTTAGCTAACATTTGGTATAAAGAGTTGCACAAAGTGCGCCAGCAGCGGGTGATGGAGCATTATTAGGGATAATAGCAGCAGGGGCAAGAGGTGCTTGGCTGAGTAGCAGAATCCCCTGGAGTGTTTCTCGCAGTGTCCTTGCCCACCAGCTCACCCTTTCGATTCTGGCGTACTGTCCTCAGGGAAGCCACGGGGATTTGGGGGCAACTGTGTACTTTGAAACTACTTTCTAGGGGCTCCTAGCTTGTATAATGTTTGTACATGTGACAGATGTGGACTATGATACTAGATCTCCTCACACTCTAAAGTCACTATCCATTGTCATATCTGTCATCCGTGTAAAGCTGTAAGATAAATAATGTATGTAGAAATAGTCACAGAAGTCTGACGTTTTAATTATGAAATAGTATTTTAAAAATGAAATAATCTATGAAATTATTCACAGAGCGCTTGTGGGCAAATTTTCATTTTTATTAGCATACGGCAGAAGGTCTGGATCAGAACAGGCTATTTCAAATTAGACTGTGTTTAAACCAGAGACTTGAGTCTGGTTCGAAAGTAAACTAAGTTTTCTTTCAGGCTCTACCACTGTCCTGTGATTCTCTCTCCTTCGCTGTCCCCTACTCCCACTTCTGTGAGTCTTCAAAGGTGCCCTTTCCTCAAACCTGTCTAATGAGCTGCCGAACTTTACCATTCATGTCCCCTTGGAACATCATCTTTCTGTCTCTTAGGAGGAAAACAGTATGATTAAATTGTTTCACATTGAGCAAAGCATGAATAACTGAAATGAACTCTTGAAAGGAGTTTGTTAAACCAGGCGGCTTTTTAATAGGGGGACATCCGTTTATAAAAATTTATCAAATAAAACATCAGTCATGCAATCCAGTGGGACACCAGCCTATATTCAGGTCCTGGGCTGCACATTAATAGGTTTGATGGTTTTTAAGGGATTTGTCAATGGAATACGTATGTTTATATGTGAACAAACAAGCTTTTTGGATGTGATATTTTGAAATTCAAGTGATTTTTTATTACTCTTGCTTATAGTAGATTTTGCCTCTTAAACTCATACACTAAATAAGCTGGATTTCAAATTACAAAGACAGAAAATAAATTACGTTGTATTTAAATTTAACATGATTCTTGAGGAACTTAGTCAAATGTATGATTTGTGAAACAAACACTGTGATGTGTTTTATTGGGAAATTAGCAGGACTGATTGGAGTGGATTAAGTTTGCAAACAGAATGGTCATTATTAGACCTCTTGTAATGAATAGGACAATTACTTTTTCTGGTTGCTGCTATTGTTTAATACGCTGTTGAATTGATTCACTTTGGAAAATTTGAGAGCTGCTTTCTATTTGTCTTGATGCTGTTTGTGTGATTTTTCAATTAAGACTTTCTTTCCTCAGAAGGTGATGAATAATTAAAGCCAAAAAATATTTAGGAAAATCTTATAAGTGTTTTTTGTTGCTGCCAGCTGCAGAAGACACAAGAATCTTACAAGGTTACCTCTTTCCTCTGTGACTGTATAAGTCTTAAGAGTTCTTAATTTAAAGCTCATATAATACAGTATATAAACTGAGCCAAAATATCTACTATCCTGAGTCCTTTAATAGTATTTGGCTGTACTAAATACATAGGATGAAAAGTATTTAATATATTATTTGGAACTGAGGATATTCATTCATTTTTTATGTATGTTACCTTAAAACTTTACTTATTGGAATAGTATGTTATGATTTCCAACCAAAATCTTTTCTTTTGGAATTTAAATATACTTCCTCTTTAAGAAACACTAGGAAACATTTTTTAAAGAAATGAATTTTGAAGTTTTCATATTCTTTTTCTGATATTTTTATTAGAAAATATCTTTTTCTGATATTTTGTTAGATAAAATATTCCCTATACCTTTAGTGTTTTGTTGTAGATCTTGTTCATGATATTTGTATGTGCTCAGTATCTAGTTCAGTTCTTTTGCAGGTTTTAAATATATTACTCTAAGATGTCTTAAATCTGAACCTAGAAAAACAGCAAACTAGTACATTCCTCATACTGTTAGTGACTTAGAAATGGTCAGATTTTACTGCTAGCCAGCAGGGTGACTTTTCAATCTTTCAGGGACACAGTTGTTTTTTATTGGGTAGGTTGGTATGCTTCAAAGGGCCACGGGCTATTAAGAATGGGATTCATAATACAAAATACAAAATCCACCTTTGAGGTATGGGATGGGAGAATGTTATGAGCCATGTTGATCTGAGATGTGTAGTTACATCTTTCATTCTTAGGAATCTCTTAAAACCAAAGGAATGCGTTAAAGTAAAGATAAATCAAGGATAGACAGCATGACGTTTGTCATTGTTTTTCTATTAGTTTGGAACATTTACTAAGCCCCTGGCATGAATGAGGCACACTGCAAATATCATACACATGACTGACACTGTTCCTGTCCTGAGATGCTGGTAGGTGGAGTGTGCGGCCCTTTAACAAGGCTTCTCAGGTCCTTCTGCTTATCTCTGCTCTTGGATGACCTTTCTGAGGTCATCGCGACCTCATTAAGTCATACCCTTTTCTCTGTCACTAGTAGCCTTATATCCTTTGCAGTGGTATTCTTTAAAAAGCATTAGTTGAAAAAAATTTTTCTTAGCTCACAACAAGTAGGAGACTGCACAATTAACGTTGCAGTGCAGTGTGCCTCAGGTCCTTCTGCTTATCTCTGCTCTTGGATGACCTTTCTGAGGTCATCGCGACCTCATTAAGTCATACCCTTTTCTCTGTCACTAGTAGCCTTATATCCTTTGCAGTGGTATTCTTTAAAAAGCATTAGTTGAAAAAAATTTTTCTTAGCTCACAACAAGTAGGAGACTGCACAATTAACGTTGCAGTGCAGTGTGCTATACTTTGTTTTCTCAAACTGTAAGGATCTTTTCTTTTCTTTTCTTTTTTTTTTTTTTTGTACTGGGGATGGAACCCAAGGGCTCTCTACCACTGAGCTGTGTATCCCCAGCCATTTACATTCTTTATTTTGAGACAGTCTTGTTAAATTTCTCAGACTGGTGAGTAGCTATGTACCATCATGTTGGGCTGGGATTTAAGAGAGCTGGAGTTCAGAGGAGGATCAGGAAGGGCAGTTAAAACTTTGTTAAACCTTACGTGGTAATTGTTGGGAATGGATTGCTTTGTATTCTCACCCTCATTTGGGGACTCTCGGGCGTAGTCTGTGTTATAGGAAGCCTTTTGGCTTTTAGAAACAGGAAGGTGTGCAGAACACAGTTTTTCTGAGATCTAACCTTTTGTCTTTGTGGAGGCTTTTCTTTCGAACAATTTTGTCAGTGTGTGTTAACTTTAATATGCATATGAATCACTTTGGGATTCTTATTAAAATGCAGAATTTGTTTCAGTAGGTGTACTGTGGGAAAGTACCTCAATGCAATGGTTAACCCCCAAGTACAGTATTAGGCAAGCTATCTCAGAGGTTATGGAATACAGGCATTCAGCAACCAAATTAAAATGCTTGAGTCTTGTTTAAACCCATGTAAAATCCATATTAAATCCAGGTACAAATCCAGGAGCTAGAGGAATGTCAGGATAAGTCAACACACTTAGGTGCAAAGCAAGGTAGAAGGACAGAACTACCTGCCTCTTGGGCACACCATGTCCAGCCGATTTGTCTGTCTCTTATACCAGCCTTCCTCACTGGTGGCCTGGTTATGCAGATCAGAGTAGAAACCCCATGGACTGATGGTGTGTGTCTGTGATGCAGACTTGCTTTGCTGAAAAGATGTGGGACATGTGCATCTAGGTATAGCTGTACTATGCCAGTTTGTCTGATCATGAGCCTTGGGCTTTTATTTACTTTGATGGGTGCAACACCCGTGTTTCCACAGAGTACCATACTGAGTGTCCTTAGTGGCTTGATGTGAAGGTGACAAAGGTGTCAGTCCAGAGTTTGCATAATAATGCCTTGTTCTTTCTATCTCTATTAGTAAAGCTTTTTTGTTCTATCATATTTTCTGTTTATTCTTTTTGTAGTGTCATGTAGTAGTTTGCTAACTCATGTATTTTTAATATATTTTCTGAATTCTGCCTTCATATTAGCTGTTTGTATTCTTAGTATCCGTATTTACCAAGCGTGAGTATTGCCCCTCTCATAGGCTGTTAGCTTATTTACAGTTTTTTTTTTTTTTTTTTTTTTTTTTTCCAGTATCCAGGGGTTGAACTCAGGTGTGGTGCAACTGAGCTAAATTCCTGGTCC